TCAGCCAACCGCTGACAGTAAGTCTCCTATGCCAGTACGGCATGATTATTAGACTTCACACAAAGACCTTTTTTTTCACCATGCAGTAGACCTGCTAAAGGATTAAGACGTGTTCAGTCAGTGGAGGGCTCCTTAAAGCTGAGTTCAGGTTAATGTTATGATGGAGGATTTGCTGCACAGGCACCTCAGCTTTAACCAGCATTCCATTTGTTGATCAATGAAGCTGTAATTATTAATCAATTACTAAATTGTTGTCATCCTATTAAATGTGAATATTTTCCAGTTACTTTCTTCCACTCTGACAGTAACTGAGTATCTTTTAAACAAAACAAGGCATTTGTCATCTTGGGCTTTGGGAAACACTGATCAACCCTTTTCTATAAATATATATATATATTTATATATTATATTTCATTATTATGCTTTCACGTGTGCTGTATGCTTCCTACAGCTTGCCATCAATGCAGAACAGAAGCTGGAGATCGACAGGCTGAGGCGAGAGCTGGACTCCACACGAGCAGAACTGACCCGAGTGAACAACGCCCTGCAAAGCAAAGAGATGGTAGGAAGATTTCTGGGAGCTTTTCCACAAGTCTTTCTTGAGAAGAAGCAGCGGTTGTAATGCTCTCATTCATGTTTTGCTCCCCAGAGCGGCACCCAGCTGAACAGCACGCTGGCAGGCCTGCAGGCGGAGAGGGAGGTGCTGCTGCGGTCAGCGAGAGAACAGGAGGCCGAGCTGAACTCCCTCAGACAACAAGCTCAGCTCCAGCAGAGCTCCCTGGAGCAGGAGAGGCAGCGGAGCAGCATGGAGCTGGGCAGCCTGCACGCCCAGTTACAGCAGCAGGTGCTCTACTCTGTTCATGACTGTGTAGTAAAGCTTTATGAGTTAGTTAGTAGTTACTGATGAGTCTGTGTGTGTCACATCAGGCCTGTCGGGAAGGGGAGCTGGCCCACAAGCTGCAGGAGGAGCAGTTCTGTCTGCTGCAGTGTGCAGTGGTGGAGGCCGAGGGCATCATACTGGACGCTGTGGCCAAAATAGACGACCCCATACATGTCCGCTGCATCAGCTCTCCTGGTAACAACACTTTTATTCCCTCCCCAAAGAAGAAACCATATTTATTTAATACTAAGCCTGGCAAAGCACCTTTATTTACACTCACATATAGAAGAATCCTGAACAAAATCCAAATTGTACTGGCCAAATTTAGAAGAATTATTCAGTAATAATTCAGTAATCTGTACAATCGATCAACATTTCTTGTTTTTTAGGGTTTATTGGGGTTTTTTTTTTTACTAATGTCCGTACATTTTTGCTCATCACCCTTTGCTGCTGTAACACTGCAAAGTTCCTTGCTGTGGGATCAGTAAAAGCCTGTTTTATCTTGTGTTAAAAGACACTACAAGGACATTCAGAAACAAGAGCAAAAGGAACCAGATTTTTCATTTTAATTTTTGTGCTTTCAGTCTGTTGAGTCAGTGGTTACTTAGTCTCTGAACTCTTAGCTAACAGTGAAAACTGCCCATCACAGATTCCCAGAGCTCGAGGCTGGTGTCTTTAAACAAAACAATCTGCACTTCTTGGACAACTGTGAAGCCAATACAGAATCATCTGCGACTGTCACATGTCAAAAAATCAGGGACTTTATGGTTGAGCTGCAGACTGTGTTTACACAGAGCAGAGAGGCAATAAAAATAGAAACACATTCAAAATCTAAGTGGTAAGATCGTATGTAGAGTCACCATTTTTTCCCCCAGTATTGGTATTACCTGTGGACACTTGGAAAAATGTTGGACGTGCTGATTCTAGGCTTTTTTATTTTTTGTAAAATAAGCATTCAAAAAATTGCAACTGGCTGTACTATAATTTTTTGAGTTCTCTTTCCTTCAAGCCATGGTTGTGCAGGTGCAGGACTTTACTTTGCAGTAAAAAAAAAAATGCAAATAGTCCGGAAAAAATTTGACAGAAACAAAAAACATGAAGGTTACATTGACTGACTGCTCCTGCACACTTTTCAGCACTCAGGTGTGTTGAATGTAAATTTCAAATTACAACAAGACTGCATATAAAAGCAAAAAACAATCGAAAACCTACAGTAAAGACTGAACCTTGTCCTCTTACTCAGACTTTAATATGTGATTCTCGAACCAATTCTCCTTGTTTTCAGATTATTTGGTGAACCGAGCTGAAACAACTCTGTGTTCTATCGACAAAATGCAGCAGAGCCACTTGGTCTACATGGGAAACAGGAATGGTAAGATAGGAATCATTTGTGTGTGTTCAGATTAGAACTTTATAGTGTGTGTACACCTCAGGTGGTGAGTGTATCGATCCCTCCTCTCTGCTCTGCAGATGCCAGTGGTTTGTTGAGAGCGGTCACACAGTTTTCCCACCTTGCTGCTGACACCATTGTGAACGGAGCAGCGACGTCGCACTCAGCTCCCACCGACCAGGCCGACCGTAAGAGACAAGCTCTGTAACTGTTGGTTAGAACGCTGAATGCATTATACACTTCAGTCTTGTGTCTCTCATGCAGGTTTGACTGATAGCTGTCGGGACTGTGCGAATCACTGCCTTCAGTTCTTGAAGGACCTGAAGCTACAGGCCAGTTTGCCAAGAGCAGACCCATCGGCGATACGCTACACTGTTCAGCGGCTCCTCACGTTGGGACAGGTGGGATAGAGGTTTTTTATTTGCAAGATTTTTTTTTGGCAGCTTTTATTAGATTGGAACAGAGCAAAGGTTCTGGGCTTGACAGCTGTAATAAGGAGTCAGCCCTATTACATGGTGTACTACAAGGTGAGCTACTGAAGCTCCCTGGACAGAGTGTATATTTATCAGAGTAAGAAAACACAAATGTCTACAGCCAAGCTACCAGCTCTGTGAATCTGTACCTCTCAGTACTCACTGCTGCAGCTCTGATGTCTGCTGTAACTGTATGATTCTTGTTTAGGATTTGCGCCCAAAAGGACAAGATGTGCTGAAAGAAGAGCTGGGGAGCATGGTGGACAAGGAGATGATCGCTACATCAACTGCCATCGAAGAGGCTGTGCTGCGAATGGATGTAAGCACAAACACATCAGCATTTTTAAAATATTAGAGTGTACAGACAACAAACAGTTCATGTAGTTTATCATTAAAACAAACGTATAAAATAAACCAAATAATCAATCCTGCCACTCTCAGCACAGATAAACCCAGACCAGTTACTTAGAGTTATTCCATGTTGCTAAATTTAAAAAATGTATACTTTCAGTCAGTTTTTGCAGCTTCCATTGTGGCAGTCAATCTCTTTTGCAGATGTCTTAACTGAGCAATGCTTTGTGGTATGGACATGAAATAGATCCTAAACTACATTCATATTGACCTTAAAAAGTTTGAAATTTAACATGCAGAACCCTGCAGAAACCTTGCGCTGACTAGCTCCTCCTACTTGAATTTTTAAGACCGCTTTATCAGGTCCAACACACGCTGACAGATAAACCTGACACATATGCATAACATCTGTTCCCATGTTTGTTTCACAGGAGATCCTGAATCAGGCAAGGAGAGAAACTACTGGTGTTAAGCTGGAGGTCAACCAGAGGTAAGATGAATACTGCATCAACTTAAAAAAGTTAGTTTTCTGTTTTGTTTTTCCTTCTCTGTCATAATTTTAATCTGTGTGATTTTTTTTGTGTTCCATTACAGTATCCTGGGATCCTGCTCAGACCTGATGAAGGTAAGAAGTCCGTCCTTCAAATAATCTTCTGTAAACTCAAGTTAACATTCGTTCCCTGAGTATCGTTTTGCTCTGCTCTGTCCTCTCCAGGCTGTTCATATGCTTGTTACAGCTTCTACCGATCTACAAAAAGACATTGTGGAAGGAGGCAGGGTGAGTTGGAGTGGCACCATCATCTAAAATTCTAATTACAGGAGAAATTCAGACCTTCTCCCATATCTGTATTAAACGGGTTAAAAAGATTCACTTTTTTTCTTTTTTTACATGTCTTTGCTGACTAATACCTTTATATTAGGCTGTTATTTGCTACTGGAGATATTGGATTTCACTTGAATAAAATGAAATTTTAAATGAACTAAATTCCCTATTAATTATAATAAAGGCATTAAAGGTTATTCCCAACTTTGGTTAAGTAGGAAATAGTTTTTTGAAAAGTAAGACTTATTTTTTCACAGTAAATGTCATATTTTATAGACATATTTTCTCTTGTACTGTACAAAACATGAAAATATATCGTGGTTAATTCAATCTGATATAGACCAAGAAATCCTTATTGTGTCTTGTACTAAATACTCATCATATTGCAAGGATGACAAATTACAAAACTAGTTTTTTGAAATGTTGGTAGATTTCTTCTGAAAAACCTGGAAAAGAAAGCCGAATTAACTATTTGTTTAGTATTTTTCTTATTTGTGCACTAACCAGTAAAGTCATCAGTCAACGTCAAAGAGTCAAAATTGGCAGCTTTTGAATTTTGTTTTCAACAATTAAGTACTGAGGATTTGATTATAAAAGTTATTAAACTGCTTCCCTACTTTTAGACTTTTTTTAATTTTACTGTATTACTTGTATTTACAGCACATACTCTGGCTTGTATGAATTTATGGTGTTTTGTAAGTGCATGCTGGCTGGGTAGAGTTTAGTTCATCCTGTCATACAGATGTATTCATCACAAGGATGACATTTAATAACACTGGCTTTTATGGAAAAGATGACTGAATTGGAGCAGGGAAGACATTATATGAACAAATTTCTTCAGAGAAGTTATATCGTATAACATCATGTCCGCAAAAAGGCATTGGCTGTTTTTGTACCGCTCTCTGACATTTAAAAAAATGTAAGTTGTCAGACAATTTAATAAATGGCATTTATTGTTGGGTTGGCAAGTAAAACTGGAATGGCTACTTACATGAACAATAATTATCATTACATACGGCTGAAAAGTACTGGTGGAACACAATAAAAACATCTGTGGTAAATAATTTTAGGTCTTATCATCTGCTGGTTTTCTGTTATTCATAGTTTAATGCATGACCATGAAAAAAGCATTAAACTCTTAAAAAGTCTCAAATTTAGTTTGATTACCGCTGCAGAAGCCCTACTTTAAGTGCTGCATGTAGTAATAAGTAATATTTGTTCTTCCTGCAGGGGGCAGCGTCTATCACAGAATTCTATGCCAAAAACTCTCGCTGGACCGAAGGACTCATCTCTGCCTCCAAAGCGGTGGGCTGGGGGGCCACACAACTGCTGTACGTATGAAAAACCAACAATACTAAACACATCCGCTATTAGTTACATAATACTTCTCCAGAATATCAGACTGTATGTTGCACATTCACTTCTTTACTGTCAGAGACTCCGCTGATCGGGTTGTGGGTGAAAATGGAAGATACGAGGAGCTCATCGCCTGCTCGCATGAAATCGCTGCCAGCACTGCCCAGCTAGTAGCTGCTTCTAAGGTACAAACTTATGTCAAAACATCGTTCCGCTGAAGTATTTCAAAGACACCCAGTGGAGTGTCTGAATCTTTGTACAACAAGCAAAAGAACATAATGTACATTTAGGCAGCAATGGACAGTAACTCAAGTCCTGCAAAGTACAGTTTTGTCTCCATTTTACATCCAACCAAATGAACAAAACTGTGTCTTGTTGGGGTTCTTGTCACATTTCAAGTATGTGACTTATTTAGTCCAAGAGACCATCTGAGGTAGTCTCAAAGACATAACATTTTCCAGCAAGGCTAAGCAAAAAGACAAAAATACATACATTTCTGTTGTGGATTTTATTATCTGACAAGTTCAGGAACAGCTGAAATCAACTGTCTGTGTATGCAATATCAGTATTTGCTGTTCACGGAAGAATCTGTACAGTATCAATGTCTTCATACTTATAGAGTAACCCTGTACAATATCATTCCTGTCCACATTCAAATGAATCTGTGCAGTACCGAGATTTTAGATTTTCTACATGGAGAAGAATCTGTACATAATTAAGGATCATGTACGATTATTTTGTCTCATTTTATCCTATTAGGTACTTAAAACCAGCTCCACTTAAACCAGTTTGGTTCACCATAATTACATCTTCTGTATCCAGCTGTTCACTCTGGCTCATTGAGGCTATTTATTCTTTTGGAATTAGTATCAATATAAAGTGTGTCATAAGGACACTGTTTTTAGAAGAACATGTTGCTGCTGAATTTTTAAAATGACATTTCTGAATGCTGAGAGCACCACAAACAAAATTACATTCACCTGTACTGCTTTGTGATGGAGACAAACATATGAAAACTAGATTTGTATGGAATGTTCCAATGTCAGAAAACGTTTCTATATGTTGTGATTTCGTTAAGCTGAGTCTTGTAGAATATTTGCAAAATATGAATGCAAAAAATATAATGAGAAATATTTATTTGTAGTTTAATTTGACCATGGCGCCTCACCAAACATTCTTGTATTCTGCTGTAATTTCAGGTGAAGGCTGACCGCAACAACAAGAAGCTGTACACGCTGCAGCAGGCCTCACGACACGTGAACGACATGGCTGCTGTGGTTGTCACCTCCACTAAACACGGGCAGCAGCAGATCTCTGACCACGGTGAGAGGAGGAACTGAAGGAGTATACAAGCAGATCAGAGAGGCTTCACATGTCTATAAGTGAAACAAGCTGTGAACACAACATTGACTTCATTATCATGGCGTCAATTTTATAAGGTGGCAACGTTAAGATACAGATGCCTATTTACACACCCAGCAAATATGAACTAAATTTCCAATGATTTAGAGTTGTGTTTCTGTTCATTTAGAGAATATAAGTCCTACATTCCCTCTCTTTCAGCTCTGTTTTTGGTTTCCACCAAGTTGTAAAAGAAATATTCAGCTCTTGCTAAAAACTCCATGTAATGTTTTTGTTTTTACAGGTGTAATGGACTTCTCTGGCATGTCTCTGATCAAACTGAAGAAGGAGGAAATGGAGGCTCAGGTGAGACCAATGTGTCCTAAAACTGATCTTTTTTTTTTTCATTTTCTATTTAATGCAAGCACCCCAAGGCTACCTCAGTGGGACTACTTGTGGCAGGGGTACACTGAAAGACTGTGTAGTAGCTCAACTCATTTGAATTTTTTTTTTTAAAAAAAGTTAGTTTTGACTGAAAATAAATATTTTGAGTCTACTGTAAAGCTGTGCATTGTGATAAGTGTATGAAAACTAGTGAGTCTCAGCAGTTCGCTGTAAGTAATAGATGAAATGCTAAAATGTATGGCTTAAAGCAACCAGGTGGAATAAAATGTTATGAACAATAAGTGGTAAAAATAGAGAGCTAAAAGGTAACAAAACAAATAAATGATGTAGACTAATCAATAGATAAATGGTGAGCTTAAAGGTCATGGATAAATAGTTCAACTGGTAAGCTTATAAAGATATTGGATAAATAATTGAAATAGCTTTTAAAACTAATAAATGTCTTTAAAAGTTAGCTCATAAAGCTAATGGCAAATAGTTGAGCTTGTCAGCTTATAATGCTAATGGTTAACAGCTGAGGTAGTTAGCATAATGCTAATGATTTGAGCTGAAGTAGTTAGCGTAATGATAATAGCTGACGTAGTTAGCTTAATGCTAATGGATAATAGCTTTTATTTTATTTATTTGACCTTTATTTTACCAGGTAAAAATGTTCGAGAACCAGTTCTCATTTGCAAACATGACCTGGCCAAGAGGTGCCAGCACGAACAAATACACATGTAAATTATAGATACAAAAGTAAACAGGTAAAAAGCATGGGAGCAACTACAATCTTTTGGATTTTAAGCCTGTAAGTGGTGAGTAGAGTCAGAGTTGCAAGTTTGAGGGTGTTTTGTAAGGTGATCCAGTCTTTAGCTGCTGCAAAGCAAATAGAGTTACGGCCAAAAATGGTACAGGTATTGGGGATGATGAGCTTGATGTATTCATTAGACCTAGTACAATAAGAATTATGGGCGACATGAAGAAGAGAGGACAGGTAAGGAGGTGTCTTGGCCTTTAATTGATTTGTAAATGAAATGAAACCAGTGGTGAAGCCGCCGAGTATGAAGGGAGGGCCACCTCGCCAATTTATAGTGATCGCAGTTGTGGGTGTGGAAGGGTGCATTAGTGGCAACGCGGCTGGCTGAGTGATAAAGAGTGTCCAGTTTTTTAAGCTTGGTGCTTAGGGCCATTTTGTAAATGATGTCACCATAATCCAAACTCGGGAGTATTGTCATCATGACAAGGGTATGTTTAGCAGCATGAGTGAAGGAGTCTTTGCTGCGGAAGAAGAAGGCTAGTCTGGTTTTGAGTTTAGTCTGAAGGTTGTTAATGTGTGTGGCGACAGAGATGAATCCAGCCAGAAGCCTAGATATTCATAGGATTTGACGGACTCCACAGACAAGCCATCTGTACAGCTGATCGTTAGGGGCGCGGCTGGATGCAACATTCCTCCTGTCAAAGATGATGCATTTGGTTGTACTGATGTTAAGGCAGAGGTGGAGGTTGTGAAAGGACTGCTCAACAGAAGTGAAGCTGAGCTGAAGAGTGGATGCTGCAGCATGGAGTGAAGGGCCAGCTGAGTATTGTCAGCATACAAATGGATCTGGGAACCGCCAGCAGCTTTTGCAACATCATTAATGTAGATTGAAAATAAGGTTAGGCCCAAGATTGAGCCCTGAGGTACACATTTGGAGACAGTAAGTTGATCTTACAGAATTTTTTCCGTCTTCACCTGCTGGACAGGGTCTGTAAGGTAGCTGGCAAACCAGTCACAGCAAGTAGAGGGCAGACCGATGCTGCCTACGAAGGAGGATCCATAGATCAACAGAGTCGAAGGCCTTAGCAAGGTCAATCGATAAGGCTATGCAGATCTGCTTGCTGTCTAATGCTGTAATAGTATTGTCCAGGACCTTCATAGTGGCTGTCACACACCCATGTCCAGCCTGGAAACCCGATTGCAGGTCTGACAAGATCTGGTTTGACTGAAGGAAGTGGCTTAGCTGTTTCAAAACCAACTTCTCCAGGACCTTGGGGAGGCATGGTAAAATGGAAATGGGTCGATAGCAGTTGGGGTCAGAGTCAGAGCCACCTTTGAAGAGGGGAAAGATTGTTGTCAATTTCCAGTCAGGAGGGAAGACAGAGAGCTGTAAAGATAGATTAAATATTCTTGTGATGGGAGCAGCAATGATGTGAGCAGCTGATTTTAAGAACATGGGATCAAGCCCATCAAAGCCAGCAGATTTGTTAGGGTGTAGCCTGGTGAGGTCATCTTGTACTTCTGAGATAGAAAGAGATTTAAAGGAGAAACCAGTATTGCAGGATGGGGAAAGTCAAGTATCAGAAGAGGCTGTATCGGGGTCTGAGGTAAAGTATGCTTGAGTTGCATTAACAAAGTGTTGGTTGAGGAGTGAGGCCATATGAGACTCGTTAGCTTAAAGTAATGGGTAAATTGTTGAAACAGCTTAAAGAGTAGCCAGTATATAAGTGATACAGGGTTGACCTAAACAGCTAAACGTACTCTAATGAATACATTAGTAAATAAATAGCAAAAAGTAATGCAAACATGGTGGAAAATTGTCAAATTTTCAGACATCAAACTTCTATGAATCAAAAATAATAATACATGTTGATCGAGTTAGCACTAACAACTCAGGTGCACAACAACTTTATTGTACCACTAAATAGTTGTTATATATTTATTAGTGTAAAATAAGTCTAGTATTTGAATTCACTGACCTTGGCTGGGGATTTGTGTGAGTCTAAAACGTTTCAGAGCCACTGAAGAAGGTCGTCTGCTCTCTGAATCTCTCAGGTGAAGGTGCTGCAGCTGGAGAGTCAGCTGGAGCAGGAGAGAGTCCGTCTGGGTGAGCTGAGGAAGAGACACTACGACCTCGGCTCCTCTGGGACCAGCGCTGACGGAGACGGCGGAGACGACAGCTTCCCTCCACCGCCACCACCGACTCTACTCGACTCCACCCCAGTACCTCAGTCCTTTTCCCAGACACAGCCTAACATCAGCACTCAGAGCTTTGCACCATCCAATCCGTTTGCACCGACTCAGACACAGTCTTCGTCACTGCCCCAGCCGTACACATCAACACACACCTACACACAGGCCTACACACCCTCTCAGACCTACACGCCTTCACAAACTTACACACCTTCACAATCCTACACGCCTTCACAATCCTACACACCTTCACAATCCTACACGCCTTCACAATCCTACACACCTTCACAATCCTACACACCTTCACAATCCTACACGCCTTCACAATCCTACACACCTTCACAATCCTACACGCCTTCACAATCCTACACACCCTCCCAGCCCTACATCCCGACTCAGCCTTTCACACCGTCTCAACCGTACACCCCAAACCCAACTCAGAGTTACTTGAAACCTCAGTCTTATTCGCCATCGCAGCCGTCATCACTGACATCCAACCTCACTCAGCCTAAACCATTCCAGCACCAGGCAGCTCAACAGAACAACACTGAGTCCACGAAACCAACCTCAAAGAGACCAAATATTTTTACCAAATCTGGAAACCTGCTGAAGAATGCGGTAAGTGCTGAGCCTCACCTGCTGAACTTAATCTCACATGCTTTTTAACTGAGTAGCCGGTGTGTATAAGAGTGTTTCTTTTCATTACAGTTCAAACGAGGTGAAACTGGAACAGGGGAGTCTTGAAGCTGACTGAAGAGGAGGAATCTGATTGAATGGTGTTACTTAAGCACTCGAGAAATTAATGTCCTTTATAATGTAAAAAACACTGATTTTATCCTTGGCTCTGTATCAGAAATGTAAACGCAGCTTTGTTTGTGCTTTATAGGAATCACATTTACAAATTAAATGACAATAGAATATTTTGTCATCATACTGACAGTTATATTATCTAAGAGTTGTATTAAATTTTTTTAAAAATGTCATAATTTTTGTGGCATTTCTTCCTCTACTTGCTTTACACAGTTACTTTTTCAAATATTGTTCCATAATTTGCACAGTGTAAATGTTTTGGTCTTGTTAAGAGCAAATCCTGGTGTTGACTACACCTTAAAGGCTGTGCTACACAGATAAGTGCCATTTTATTCTGTATTTTTTTGGTGTCTGCATTAAAAAAAAAAGTTCTGTTGTGTGACCTTTGTCACTGTTGTAATCCATCCATCCATTATCTGTACACCGCTAAATCCTCACCAGATTCGCGGGGGCGCTGGAGCCCATCCCAGCTGACTGAGGGCGAAGGCAGGGGACACCCTGGACAGGTCGCCAGTCCATCGCAGGGCTATACTTAGAGACAGACAACCATCCATCCATCCATTATCTATACACCGCTTAATCCTCACTAGGGTTGCGGGGGAGCTGGAGCCTATCCCAGCTGACTTAGGGCGAAGGCAGGGGACACCCTGGACAGGTCGCCAGTCTATCGAAGGGTCACACTTAGAGACAGACAATCAAGCACACTCACATTCACACCTACGGACAATTTAGAATCCCCAATAAACCTCAGCATGTTTTTGGACTGTGTGGGAGGAAGCCGGAGAACCCGGAGAGAACCCACACTGCATGAGGAGAACATGCAAAGTTGCTGCGTGGCAACTGTGCTAACCACTGAACCACCTTGCAGCCCCTGTTGTAATACAAACTATGAAAATATAGTTAAAATGATCATTTAACCATGTTACAGGACGTGCTACATTTCTGCAGAGGGGCTAAAAAGCTACAGTGATCCTTTTGAATCTTATTTTAAGACATATAAGATGGTTTTTATGTTCCTAGCTTTGTAGTTAAGTTAGTAATACTGAGTGTCCTGCAGAACGAAGCGTTCTTTCACTACAAGTAGTGGATAGTCAAGTCACCATATTTATATTATTTACTGGCTGCACTCAGTAAAAACAGAAGGTTTAGCTTTTTCACTGTTCTTTATGTAGCACAGCAGAAACAACGATTGAGCCAAGGTGCTTTCTCACAGAAAAAAAGATGGATTTTGTGAATTTATCCATAAAATGGTGAGATTAAGGTTGAGACCCTCCATAATTATTTATTGTATACTTTTACAAAAGTTATTTAAATATTACAATTAAATTTTGCAATATTGTATAAAATACAAATTGACCTGATCAATTAACCTGATTAGCTTAAATGTTAAGGTTAGAAACCCACAGCATAACATGATGTGATAATTAACTGACTGTTTGAGGATTGGGACTGTTTGACATTTTTAAGGGTTAACTCTGATGGCATTTCTTACATATTTTTTGGGTATTTTTACAAACAACTTTTCCTTCTTTTATGTTGTTACTATAGAAAATATAGCTCCAACCCCTCATAGAAGAGCTGTGTTCAATTTCAAAAGCTAAATATTTGAGCCACCATGAAAAATCTTATAATCTGCATTAAATCTTACATCAATAAGTTTAAATGTAGCTGTGTTATATTATCAGTCATTCATTCACCGTTTACAGACCGAACAGATGCTGCATAGGAAGAGTGTTGACAGTACTTTAAACACTTTAAGGCTCTTGTGTTTGCTAATATCTGCATCATAATTGAAATAAATCCATGTATTTTTTTTCTGTTTTGACAATGTTGTGTTTAAAAGTGTCAGAACAAGTAAAAGTCTCTTCGTGCTGTAATATATTCTCACAGCGACCTCATCTGTCATTCCTGTCATGCGCAGTACAAACTGCAATCTCACCACCATGGAAGTGACTCCAGAGGGAGCAGAAAGCAGGAGAGTCAAGTTAGAGCAGTTTACAATACTCCAGCCAGACAGCATCGCCTTCACAATTAAAGCACAAATACTGGCTACTGATCCTCAGAGAGCAGACAGACCTTGTCATTTATACTGTTTTAAATTATTGATTTGTACAGTTTAGGATTACAGGGCCAGTGCACATTAATAGAAATTTCTGTCGAAGTGCCAACCACAACATACACATATAACAAGACAAGATTGAGAAAAACTGAGAAAATACTTTAAAAAACAAGGACACAATACGTAAAAGATAAAACAAAGCACACCTCAGTTATGTAGAAGCAGTTAAGTAATAGAATATAGAGTCATATATAGTCACACACTTTCCTTTTAACCAACCCAATGAGACACATAGACACTGTTTGTTTTGGGGGCTGTCAATGTCCAGCAGCCCAAACCACAAATGTGACAAAAATAAAAATAAAAAAAGATAATAATTAAAAACTGTTCAAAATAAAAGGCACATAGGACTTACATTTAAGAAGCTGAACCCCAATTTCTATTTTCAAAAAAAGACTTTTGACAATTCTCAAAACATTCAGATTTCATCTAAATATGTTCTACTTTTATTCATATACTTTATTATTTTAAGCATATACTTCATGCTTTTAGACACATACTTTACACGTCTATGCACTTGCTAAGACTATGTATATTATTACAATCTTGAGTTTCCAATGGCTCCTATAACTCTGAATTTTCTGGATGGAATCAACGAAACACAGTCTTCAAATCATGCATTTTGGTTCCTTCATAAATGTATTACAAGTCTTCTGGAAATAAAACAAAATCTGCTGCGTCAAATATATACATGCAACAACTTGAATGACAGAATGAAGGTTTTAAACGGGTCTAACCAAAGTTCCTGTTTAAACCAAATGGAGAATCTGGACTGTGAAGAAGAAACAAGTCTGTGTTAGAAAATCAACGGATTTAGTTTAACTACACCAGTTCTTTCAGGAGGAGTCAAAGATACAACCAGAAGTTTATCAGAAGCTTGTGGACGGCTACCAAAAGTGGCTAGTTGAGGTGAAAATGGCCAGAGGACATTTAACCAAATATTAATAGTGCTGTGTGTGTCTTTTTTAACCCTGCAGATTTTGTCAAATTTCCAGAAGACCTGTAATAAATCTATGAAAGAACCAAAGTGCATGATTGTTTTTGGGGACAAAGATACATGTTTAATGATTCGATCATAAAATTCAGAGTTAAAAGAGTCGATGGAAACCATAGACTGTATAAAAGATGGACGTAGCTACCGTGACGTCACCCGTTGGTTTCTGCACTGAGAAAATGAAGTCAGGGGCTGTGTCTGAAATCACTCCCTATGCCCTATGCACTATATAGGGTGCACGCCATTTTGTAGGGGTGTCCGAATGTTAAGTTACAAATGTTACACCCTATATAGTGCACTCAAAATATCCCACAATGCACCGTAAAAAGTAGTGTACACCCGATGGTCACTAACCGAGCAATGTGGATCGTCATGCATTGCGCGAAAGGAAATGGAAATGGAGATGAACGAGAGCGTGGAAAAATTCCCGTTTGTTTTGTTAAATTTTGTTTTACCCGGACAGTGAACGTCGCTAAAATTGCGGCGCTCGGTTGTGATTTGGACATACAACACCACTTTATTTAAATTGCTTTTAGTTACTGGATCCTGAAGAAACGCTCTCTCATCTGGTATGTACAACAAAATGACAATAAACTTGATTTAATTTGATTTCTTAGCTACGCAATAAACTGTTAATTTGGTGTGTTTGTACTACGCTGTTGCAGCACAAATTGCGGCAAGTGAGCGACGTAATTAATAGCTCGAGTAATGTCCAAAATGATACTTTGTCGAGGTGCTCCCTATATAGTGCACTACATAGTGATCACTATATAGGGAGTAGGGAGTAGGGAGTGAGTGGGTGATTTCGGACACGGAGGGTTTTGCTACTTCCTGGTTGACATCTTGGATTTTTGGAGCCAGTGACGCAAAAATCGTCGGGGGGGGGGTGGAGCCATAGGAGCAGCGATTGGTCAGACGGATTGAGAGGCAGGCCCTCTCTGCCCGCCCACAATTACCGCCTTCTGCTCGCTTCTTCTGTATCGTCGCTGCCGACTGTCAATCAAGCCAGCCACGCCCCTTGCCCCGCAAAAT